AGGCGGTAGTTTATATAAGCTTCCACATAGTTTACAAAAACAAAGACACTCTGATTGGTAGGCTAACATTGTTTACCTTTTCCTTAAAACGGCCTACACCTTACACTATGAAACCTATACTAATTCACACCCAAACAACCCAGTGGTCCCCATCACACCTTAAGACATTTTCTATCTGCGCCACAAGCTCTGAATTTCTAACTGCGTCAGAGGCTTGAAGGCCCACAAGGCCCAAATCTGAGGCCTAGACTGGAGTAGCTCAAATCTCATAACTCATGTCCTCTTTTCTCTCAAAAATGCTGCAACACAAATCCTTAACAGAAAATCCTGATCCTTCCATGTGCACTCTGCATTTCCCAGATGTTGCTTTGTTTTGCTCCGTGTGCTCAGGGTCCCCTGCACAGCCCGTGTGGCAGAGCCGGTGCCTGTCCTGCCGCAGTGTCCAAAGGCGGCCCCCCCGGCGGGCAGGGCCGGCAGCTCCCCGGGGCCGGGCAGTGGCCGGGGCGTCCCGCAGCCTCCTGGGGGCCGGGGGCCACTGCCGGCCCTGCCCGGGGCTGGTGGGCTCAGGCAGCGCCCGGCGCTGAGCCCCGGCTGCCCCACAGCCCCGGCCCGGCCCCGCAGCTCCCCACAGGCCCCCAGCCCTGCTCCCGGTCCCGCACCTCTGCGCCCGCTGCTGCCGCTGCCCACCACAGAGAAACCCCTGACATCCTGACCTCCTGCTTTTCCTGTCCTGGAACTCGGGGAAGGAAAGGATCTGGATCAGCTGGCAAATTTAGAGCATAAGACCCTGCTGAAAAACATCGCAATCCTCAGTATTTTTCCCTTACTTCTCTGTTCCATCATCCTTTTTCATACCACATAGATTTTTCCTGCTATTTCTTGCCATAACCATATTCCTGCACACTCCCCTTCACCCAAACCCTTCCCAGCTCACCAACACCATCCATCCCCTGTTCTCCAAATCCCTTCTCCACTTCCCTTCTTGCCCCCATGAGTGCCCATGTCCTTAATTACCTCTGGGGGAATGTGCAAACTACCTCAACTTTCTCCCAAGGGACCCTTCAGAGTCATTTTGGGATCATCATCCCTTTGGCCAGGACCCTCCCTGGCTTTCCCTTTTCTCCCCTCCATGGGTGCCCTGCCATGTTCACTCCCCGAAGATCCCAGGGCACTCACTGATGAGATTTTCAGTGCTCTCTCCCTGCTGACTCTTCACAGACCCCCCTGATGTGTCACTCATCTGTCTCCGGGTCACTCCCGGGTCCCCAATCAATCCCCGGTGCCGCCGCCAGCCAAGGGAGCCGATCACCCAAAGTGGGTGAGGCACCTTCAGCTGCACTCCCTGCCCCAGGGTGTGCGGGAAAATTGACATCACCAGAGGTTTTTATCCACAAAGCAGACAGAGGAGTCCTGTAAAAGTAATTTCATTCCAAAAATAAGAGAGGCCATGGTATATTCCTCATGGGATCTCTCCAATTTATTGGGCTAAATGTTGGTGCTTTGTTTCTTTGTGGGAGCTGAATCTTTATAATTTAAAGGGAGTTTTTGCTGAATCGTGATGTTTGGGGATTTTTTGGGCTCAGTCTTAGAGTTTTGGAGGTTCTTACAGATTCATGACGCCTAGTGACTTCTTGAGATGAAGTGGGGCAAGAAGGATCTCCCAGTGCAACGTGCTCTGTTCTTGTTTTTTTCCCCAAACCAGGATTTTTCACTCCCAGGGTGTGGCCAGATGGAGGAGGAGGAAAAGTCCTGGAGATCCCGCACAAGGAGTGGCAGCAAACCCAGCCCAGGGAGCTGCAGGGAGGAAAGAGCCCCCCTGAGCCAGGAAGGCGGGCGGAGATCCAGCCGGAGCTCGGAGCTGGTGGAGAAGGCTCATGGCAGGGAGAAGCCCCACAAGTGCTTGGAATGTGGGAAGGGTTTCAGGCGGAGCTTGGATCTGATCCAGCACCAGGTGATCCACACTGGGGAACGGCCCTACGAGTGTGAGGAATGTGGGAAGAGTTTCCGCTGGAGTTCCAGCCTGAGACTTCACCAGAGGTTCCACACCGGGGAGAGGCCCTTTGAGTGTGGGGAGTGTGGGAGGAGCTTCAGCCAGAACTCCATCCTGATCCAACACCAGAGGATCCACACTGGGGAAAAGCCCTTTGAGTGTGGGGAATGTGGGAAGAGCTTCAGCCAGAGGGGCCACCTGATGCAGCACCAGGTAATCCACACTGGGGACCGGCCTTATGATTGTGGGAAATGTGGGATGAGCTTCAGCCAGAAGGGCCACCTGATGCAACACCAGAGGATCCACACTGGGGGAAAGCCCTATGAGTGTGGGGAATGTGGGAAGAGCTTCAGGCAGAGCTCTGGCCTCAGGAGACATGAGAGAGTCCACACTGGAGAAAAGCCCTACGAGTGTGGGGTGTGTGGGAAGAGCTTCAGTATGCAGTTCCAGCTGACGGTACACGAGAGGATCCACACTGGGGAAAAACCATACAAGTGTGGAGAATGTGGGAAGAGTTTCAGAGAAAGCTCAGCCCTGATCCAGCACCAGGTGATCCACACCGGGGAACGGCCCTACACCTGCTTGGAATGTGGGAAGAGCTATGGGTGGCACTCCGACCTGAGAAAACACCAGCGCATCCACACCGGGGAGAAGCCCTACGAGTGTTCTGAGTGTGGGAAGAGGTTTCAGATCAGCTCCAGTCTCCTCGTCCATCAGCGGAGTCACACAGATGAGAGGCCCTTCCGCTGCCCCGACTGCGGGAAGGGTTTCAAGCTAAACTCACACCTCACCGTGCACCGGCGCATCCACACCGGGGAGAGGCCCTACAAGTGTGGGGAGTGTGGGAAGAGCTTCTCCACGAGCTCCACCTTGACCAAACACCAACGGAGGCGCCACTAAGGGGGGAAACCCTGTGAGTTCCCCAAGGGTGGGAAGAGCTCCTCCCAGCTCCATTCCCTATGGGAGGATCCACGTTGGATGATCTCCGATGACCCTCATTGGGCAGAGAACTCGTGATCTATGGGCCTGGTCATCTGTGTTGGGAAGACACTTGGCTGGGAGGCTCCACATCTTCCTCGTGCCCTGTAAGCACCTAGATAAACCCAGTGGCAGGAACATCCATTGGGGCACAGACCAACAATGGGAATTCCTTGGGGAGAGCAGATTTATTCACTTTCAACTCCATAAAATCTTTTGCCTTCAATCCTATCTTCTGGTGGCATCAAGGAATACTGAATGGTCTTGGAGGTATGTCCTGGGTTGACTGTATGATGCTTGTATCCCCGGCTGTCTGTTCTGTTTATGGTGAATAATAAGTTTTGCACCTTTAAGACTTGTTCCGAGAGCAAAGGAGGGAGAGAAGGGCAGAGTTTGTTTTCAGAAACTGCACTCACTCCTCCACATTTCTGCTCCTGGGCTGGGTTGTCTGCAGATGGACAGACAGCGGGACAGAGCTCTCCTTTGCTGTTAATTAGTTTTAGCTAGCTGTGGCAGAGAAGTTCCTTGGACTATGGGTTTTTTTCCCTTTTCTTTGGACCTGTTTAAACCTGCTCTGGCCTGAACACCCAGAAGAGCACTGGCAGCTCACACCTGTGGCTCAGTGGGCCAGGCCTGGACTGTGGCATTTCCAGCACTGGAGGGACTGATAAGAGACTGAGTGATCTGAGCTACAACCCACGGAGGAACTTTCTGAGTTTGTCTCTCTTTTAGAGCAGCAAGAGGTTTTATTGTTTAATGTTGTTTAGGTTTTATTAAAAAACAGTTTTTTCCACTTTCCTCCAAGGAGGTATTTTTCCCAAACCAGTCGGGGGAGGGCTGATATAATCTGCTTTCTAGAGGAATCCCTTTGGGGGTTCTCTCCCAAATTTGCTCTGAACCAGGACAAGGTCTTTTCCAGCTTCAGGGATTCCACGATTTTGATTTCCTATTGTCCAAGGGTGTCTTTTGCAGCCAGATGGTGGAAAAACTGGGGAAAAGACCAAGATTTTGGAGACAGTGGGGTAGAAACTCCACAAAAAAAGGTTCTTCCCTCCCACCCAAGCACACAGATCTTCAGCTGGTATGGACACGGAAATAATTTTCTTTTGGCCTTGATTTTGTCTTCATTTCTCTTAATCCCTTTAAAATATCCAATACTGAGGTAAAAATAGACATTGAACTAAGAAGTGGATGTGGTCGTGGTAGGACACAGACATGGAGAGTGACATGTTGTCATGGTTTGACACGGAACAGAATTTTCTCTGGCTGGGTGGGGAAGGGGAGCCATGCGGCCTGACTGAGGTAAGGCCGAAGGGTGCAGGGACTGGAACCGGCCGGCTCCCTGCGGATGGAAGGGTGGATGAAATCTGGGATGTTTGCGTTCCCCCCCCAGAGTCTCCCTGGAGATAGAGAGCTTGAAGACACCTGGAAATTCTCCGGCTGCAGAGAAGAAGTATGGGGGAGCAGCATGGGCACTGGAGTCTGGGCCAAGAGCCATCCAGGGAGTCGGGGCTTTTTACCCTTTCTTGGGAAATGAGGGCTTTGTGAAATATTACTCCTCCTTGGTTTGAAAGAGAAGAAGAGAGACAGCCTGGGACCTGAGATGTCAGGAAAAGAAGGCTGGGGGGGAAGATGGTGGAGTGGCTTTTGGCTGGACTTTTTCTTGTTAGCCATAGACTGAACCAATTCCTCCTCCAAGAGGGAGAGACTGCACTTTAGGGGAGATGCACGGTGAGCCAAGAGGCCTGCTTCAGCAGCTGACAAAAGACAGGAGTGGAATGAACAGAGAAAAGTTAAGGAGGGTTGTGGTGATGTCCCCTGTCTTCAGAGAAAAAGAGATCTCTGTTCTTGGACCCTCAGCCCCAGGGGGAAATTGGAAGGGGACTGCAGTCCCAAAAATGAAAAGCTGAACTGTTGTTTTCTTTTTTTCCATTGGCAAAGCATCCTTGAAAAGAAAATCCTATGAGCAGTCTGTCCATGCACGGTGGTGAGAGCACTGTGACATGGAAAGGAGAGTGTCACACTGGCAGATTTTCTCTGGGCAGTGCCATGTATGACATGGAAACACAAGAGGTGGCAATTGTGTTTCTTGGGGGGGTCTGTGGCACAGGAGAGACTCCTCTCTCCCTTGATGCACTGAGTATTGATTATCTGAAGGGTGCTAACCTGATTGGGGGTCCAAGTTGTGTCTCACTATGGTTTGTAGGAATTGGCGGGGGGGAGGAGGAATGTTTTGGAAGGTTTTCATTTTATATTTAGTGTGTGTTTTTCTTTTTTCCTTTTATGGTAGTAGCAGTTTAAAAAGTTTTTCCTTTGTTATTAAGCTTGGACCTGCTCTGCTCTGTTCCTGATCGCATCTCACAGCATTCATTTGGGAGGTTGCATTTTCATGGGGGCGCTGGCATTGTGCCAGTGTCAAACCATGACACATGGGGACACATGGACACACATGGACATGGAGGGGGACGGGGGCATTTGTGGGGACATGGGGGGACACAGGCATAGATGGAGACATGGGGGACAATGTCAGGGATGGAAACATGGTGGGGAGACAGCCATGGGTGAGGACATGGTGGGACATGGCCAGTGACATGTGGGGACATGGCCATGGCCGGTGCCATGGAGGGAACTTGGCAGGGCATGCGGGGGATGCTGGGTTTGAGGGAGTTGAGGGTTCCTGGGAGGGACTTGGGCCTTGTTGAGGCCTTTGGGGAGCCCAGGCCGAGCGGCTCCAGCTGCGCTGGGAGACCCTGGTGGAGGTTCTGGGGCAGCTGCTCAAGGACCCCTGACCTGGAGCCCCAGCCGGGCATTGGGCTCCTGGAAGGGGATGAACATCCTTGTCCCCAGGAGGGAAATCCCAGCACCACCAGGGTTTTGGGGGCAGCTGAGGGGCCACAACGTGGAGGGGAAAGCCCAACAGAGGTGTCACAGTCCTAAGCTAAATCCCAAAAGCCCCAAAACTCAGGGATTCCTCCCAGGAAAAAGCAGCCAGGCGGGGTCTGAATTGAGAGAAAGGGGGGATGTTACCCCCAGACTGAGCAGGAGGATCCTGGAACCCCCAAAACCAAGCACGGGGTACAGGAGTGGTGGGCTGGGGGGCAGTGGGAAAGGGGCAGAAGAGCAGGGGAAAAGGAAGCTGCAACCCCGGAAGATTGGGGGATGGGGCAGGGATCCCAACATTGCGATTGGAGGGGTCCCACACCTCCTCTTTCAAACCCCACATACTTCTCTCTGATCTTTCTCTGCCCTCCTCCATCTCCTCCTCCTCCTCCATCTATTCTCATGTGCCCACCCCCCCTTCCAGCCCACCCTTGGAACTCACCCCTCCATTTTCCCAACGCTGTCATATCCCAAGGGAGGAGCTGGGATGGAGCTGGGGTAGGTCAGGCTTGGGCAGCACTGGGCTCTGGGCCTGGCCTGGGCATCCCCATATGTCCTCTCCCCAAATTCCCTTGGTGGCTTTTGGGGATCCCAGCACCTTTTGGGGTTTGCTAGGTGTTGTGTTGGGGTTCAAGTGCCTCCCAAGGAGTCCCCAGAGTGGGGTGACATTGGGGAAACACATGTGGGTCCCCATTTCCAATCCATCCTGGGGCCAGCTCTGCCCTCTCCAATCACAGCCCCTCCCAAATCCCTTCCCAGCGCCCCCAATAAATGGCACAGGGGCAAACTGGGAAGCTTTACCGGTGTGAAAGACAATAGCATAGTTTTTGTTCATCAGGAAAAACCCCAGGGATTGTGTAAGTCGCAGGAAACAGTGGGGCAGGAGGGCAGGATGTACTGCTATTAGTAGACAGTGGAATTGAGAGCTCTTTGAAGGCTGCGTTACCATATTTGGAGAAGTTATTGCAGGGTTAACGCTACCTCGGAGGAAGAAGAATAGGAGCTTTCCTCAAACAACCACCGGACAGCAGAACAAAGACCCCTAGCAACACGCCGCGCAGATGCAGAGCACGTCGAGACTGTCACAAAGTCCGGAACTGAAGGGGTATGAGAACTGAAAGACCGGGAGGTGCGGGGTGAGCCGTTGGTGGGAGCAGAGGCTCCCCGGCCGCCCAGCGCTGCATTTGCCCGTACTGCTTGCTTGCTAAATTAATAAAATTCTCTTTATAAAGTGACACAAATTGGTCCCGTGTCATAATTTATCACAACTTGGTGCCGTGACTCGGATAGAGAAATAGCCTGGTTGTTCTGGGACCCTCGGGAGGCGCCCCGCCTTTTTTTGGCGGCCCGATTGTCCCAGACCTCCCGGTCTCTCTACCGACGAACCTAAATTAAGCTGCGGGCAAAGGAGAACCGGTTAAAAGGAGAACCGGTTACCCCTGTAAACTTTGTGCACGAAGATCCGAGCGAAGACGCAGGACGCGTGAGTATAGGCCGGTTTCCCGCTCGGTTTGGGGTGGTTTTCCCGGAGTGTTGTGTGTGAGAGGTCTCATAGAGACCAAGTGAGTGCGGACCCTCAGTACTGCGGTTCCCAATAACCGAGAGGGCTTGGGCCACGAACCAGGGGAGCGTGTGTGTGAAAAATTGAGTGCACTCCGGAAGATGGGACAGAGCAAAAGCAAGCCTCTGGTCCCATGGGTGGGGGAACCCCTGCAAAGCTTCCCCAGATTCCTGAAGATAGTCTTTCAGGAGTAATGATAAATAATTGGCATGCCTTTCCCAGTAGGGGAAAGGGAAAAGATAAAGCAAAAATGATCCACTACTTTAAGGAGGTTTTGGAAAAGTTTGGACCCAAATTTGGGGGGTTTGGACCCAAATTTGGGGGATTTTAAAGAGGTTTTGGAGGTTTGGAGCCGAGTTTGGAGGGTTCTGTCCCAAATCCAGGAGGTTCTGACCCAAATTTGGGGAGGTTTAAGGAGATTTTAGGGGGTTCTGACCCAAAACCAGGAGCTTCTGAGCTGAATCTGGGAGGTTCTGACCCAAATTTGGGGGTTTGGAGGCAGAATTTAAAGACTTGGACCTGAAATTTAGAGGTTTTGACCCAAATCTGGGGGGTATGGACCCAAAATTAGGAAGTTCTGACCCAAATCTGGGGGGATTTGACCCGGAGTTTGGGGGATTTTAAAGAGGAAAGGAGAATGATAAGGGAAATGGGGATGAGAACCTAGGATAATAAACACCAACAGGGACCATTAGCAGACACTAAAAGGCCCCTGCAAAATCCCCAATGGAATAACCAAGACCCGCAGCATAGGACCCATATGGACGACCTGCGGAACATAATCATACAGGGCATTAAGAGAGCCGTCCCTAGGGGACAGAATGTGCAAAAAGCCTTTAAGGTGCAGGACGAGAGGAGGAGGCAGTGAGACAGGAGAGCATAAGATTACCGAACTTTTTGAGTATAAAGGGATTGAAAGTGTCTAAATCCAAGTTGCAGTTTGTAGAAAAAGAGGTAAAGTACTTGGGCCACAGGTGGACTAAGGGAACTAAGAAACTAGATCCGGATAGAGTTTAGGGGATTCTCTCAATCCCAGCCCTGAGGACTAAAAGGCAAGTAAGGCAATTATTGGACTATTTGGGTACTGCAGGTAGTGGATAGGAAATTTCAGTGGAAAGATAAAACTTTTATATGTGTCATGGTTTGATGCTGGCACAATGCCAGCGCCCCATGAAAATGCAATTTATCAATTAAATATTGTGAAATGCAATTGAGAACAGAGTAAAGCAGGCTAAACTTAATAATAAAGGAAAAAATTTATTATACTATTACTACTGTTACTATAAAAGGAAAAGAAAGAAAAGGAAAAAACTATACAAAATTTAAAATGAAAACTTTCTAAAATATTCCTCTTCTTACTACTTAACTCTACTAAATTATAGTGAGACTCATTTGGATCTTTAATTAAGTTTTTATCTTTTAACATAATTAATACTGAGTTTATTGGGGAAGAGAGGAGTCCCTCTTGTATTATGGACTCTTAGGAAACACAGCTGCTACCTCTTGTGTTTTCATGTTATATGTGGCACTGCTCAGACACACTGGCTAGTGTGACACACTCTTTTTTTTTATGTTACAGTGTTCTTACTACCGTGCAGGGATAGAGATTGCTTATAGGGCTCTTTTAAGGATGCTTTGCTAAGGACTATTAGGAACAATAGTCTAGTGTTTTATTTCGGGACTATAATCTCTCTCATTTTCCCCTGGGGCCGAGGGTCTAAGAACAGAGATTGCTTTTTTCTCTGAAGACAAAGGGCATCTTTACACTTTCTTTAGCTCTCTCCGTCTATTCTTGAACTGGTAGTTGCTGAAGGAGGTCTGTACCTTGTGATGACCGGAACCAGAGAGAGCTAATTCTCTTGGGAATTCTGCTTTTAACCCCTCTGTGTTCTCAGAGGCGTGTCTACTTTTAATTGGTTATTTTAAGTGTCAGTATCTAAACTTGACTCTTGACTGGATTGACCTCTTCTTTCTAAAAAAAATTCTTTTTCTGTGTCAAACCACGACACTATGATAAATTGACAAAGGAAGGATTACTCAAATAGTCACAAGAAGATGAGGAACAATTAGAGGCCCTTAAAAGAGAATTGAGTAATGCACCTGTACTTAGCCTCCCTGATCTGAAGAGACCTTTTTATGTTTGTTAATGTAGATGGGGGGACGGCACATGGAGTTTTGGCTCAAGATTGGGCTGGGAGTAACAAACCAGTAGCCTACTTATCAAAGCTTCTGGATCCTGTTAGTCGTGGGTGGCCCACCTGTTTACAGGCAATAGTGGCAGCTGCTTTGCTGGTAGAAGAAACCGGTAAGATTACCTCTGGAAGCGAGTTAAGGGTAATGTCCCCACATAACATAAGGGGAGTATTGCAGCCGAAAGCAGAAAAATGGATTACAGATGCTAGGCTTTTGAAGTATGAAGGAATCCTAATTTCATCCCCTAAATTAACACTTGAGGCCACTGCCCTCCAAAATCCTGCACAGTTTCTGTATGGTGAGCCTTGCTCAGAATTAGCACATGATTGCCTCCAGCAAATAGAAGAACAAATAAAGATTAGACCAGACCTGGAGGGGAAAGAACTGGAAACAGGGGATAAGCTGTTTGTGGATGGATCATCCAGGGTACTTGAAGGGAAAAGAAGGTCGGGATATGCTATAATTGATGGGAAAACCCTACAGGTAAAGGAATCTGGTCCCCTGAGCCCCAGCTGGTCCGCCCAGGCATGCGAATTGTATGCAGTATTAAGGGCTCTAAGATTATTAGAGGGAAAGGCGGGGACAATTTACACTGACTCAAAATATGCCTATGGTGTTGTGCACACTTTCGGGAAAATTTGGGAGGCAAGAGGTTTAATCAATTCACAGGGTAAAGGACTGCTGCATGATAAAACAGATTTTGCAGGCAATAAGGGGTCCAAAAGAACTAGCTGTAGTGTACGTACGGGGACACTAGAAGGGCATGGGAAACACAATCAGAGGAAATAATCTAGCTGACCAGGAGGCAAAAAGAGCGGCACTACTAACTTTAAAATATAAACCGATGAGCACGCAACAGGAGAATTGTACCACCTGTGGGGGTGGTTTGGAATGTTTTTGTGAAAGCCCTGAGGAGAAATATTGCTGTTCACATGGCCCAAAATTCATTTGAACATTTACTGTTCAAGAAAAAGAAAAATTGGACCAAATGGGGGTATGGGAAAAAGAGGAAGGTAAATGGATATTACCTGATGGTCGGGAGGTGTTGCCAAAAGCGATGGCATTGAGAGTATTACAGGCAATGCATGGCAAAACGCACTGGGGAACTCAAGCACTAATAGACCAATTTGCTATTAAATATATGTCTATAGGGGTATATAACCTGGCCAAGCAGGTAACCAGTCGCTGTCTAACCTGTTTAAAGGTAAATAAGCAGCAGCAAAGAGAGAGAGTGATGGGTGGTCAGTGCTGGTTCACAGACCCTTTTCTCACGTACAGGTGGATTTCACAGAGTTACCTAAAATAGGAAGGTATAAGTACTTGCTAGTCATAGTGGATCACCTCACCCACTATGTGGAAGCCTTCCCCACAGCAAGGGCAACTGCACATGTTGTAGTAAAAATAATACTGGAAGAGGTTATCCCCAGATATGGTATATTGGTGGCGGTGGACTCAGACCAGGGCCCTCACTTCACCTCGAAGGTGACAAAGGACATTTTTAATACTCTGAGAATACAGTGGAAACATCACACCCCATGACACCCACAAAGTTCTGGAAGGGTGGAAAGGATGAATGGGGAAATTAAGAAACAATTGACTAAGTTATGTCATGGGTAAAATGCTTACCCCTCTAGCACTGTTGAACATCCGTACCCAACCTCCACTGATGTGGGGGTTTCACCCCTTGAGATGCTGTTTGGGATGCCATATGACATTAAGGCCCCCGTGAACCACCCATCTATAGAAAATTTTCAAATCAACACCTACATCACACAGATAATGAATAGGAGAGAGGAGCTCCAGAAAAAGGGGCTGTTAGTGCAGAGACCACCTTTGGACCTCCCCATTCACAAAATAAAGCCTGGGGATAAAGTACTTATTAAAACTTGGAAAGAGACCTGCCTGACCTCACGTTGGGAAGGTCCGTTTGTTGTTTGCTTACCACAGAAACTGCTATCAGAACAGCTGAGAAGGGGTGGACTCATGCGAGCCACGTCAAAGGTCCAGTCACCACAGACGACCACTGGAAAGTGACCAGCCAGCCTGGGGACTTGGAGGTTACCATTAAGAGAAACTAAGGAACTCTGTATACATCATTCAAGTTGGTCACAAAGGGGAGCAAGAGGGATATAATTACCTGCTTGTTAGTGATTATTTGATAATTTGTAATAAGGTAAACTGTGATTGTTATCCTTTTGTATGCTTTGCATGTAAAGTTTGCCAAGAACGGTGGTGCGTCCATTGCCCAAGGGGGAGGCTGCCCACTGGGGTTTGTACAGAATGTTACACGACTGAACGAGAATTAACCAAAGCTGTGTTGAAATTAGGGGAGTGGGAAATCAGTGGATTCCCTTTGAATCTGAGGAAAATTTACACCAGAGGGGTGCATCCAGAAAACTTTTGTTTCCACTCTAACGAGCCCCCTCCATTTGTTGCCCAAATTATAAAAGGTTGTTGTCGGAGGGAACTAAAGGGGGTCCCGTGTGACCCACCCCCGGTCAAGGATAAGAACTGGGAACAGTACAAGGTTGGGCAGGAGCAGGGGAATGGGCGCTCAGGCGAGTACCGCTGCTGCCGAGAAGATGGTTTACCCCGCGGCTCGAAGCACCCGAGTCGGCGGGCGAGGCAGAGGGGAAAGAGCCAGGCCCCCCAAAAATAGAATAATGCTGAAATGCTCCAACTATTGCCAGCCAAGTACTAAGTTCCTCCAGAAGACCAGTCTGATTACTCCAGAGACACCAACAGGGCAACAAGCCCAAAAGGGGAGAATAGGACATTATACATTAAATGCAAGGCCAGGACTCCACCCTTATTGGCAAATTATTGGTATTACAATGTTTTGTACCCTATACTAAGGAGAGGGGTCCCAAGCTTTACATCAACCTTTTAAGTGGACACTAACCCGAGTGGATGGTGTGGGAATTCAGAACCAGATAACATCCGGATCCCCTAGTTTTAACCCACAGTTATGTGAACTAGCCCCTATAGAGCCTTGTTTGGATAGAAACGGATTTTATATGTGCCCAGCATCAAACCCAGGGAAAGGGTATTGCAACTACCCTGGAGAATATTTCTGTGGGCACTGGGGCTGTGAAACAATAGCTTCAGATTGGTCAGTAGCAGGAGATAAATTCCTTAAAGTATCATGGGAGCCTTATGGATATAAACCTCCGCAGAGGGATTCCAGTGGTGGAGTTGTGGACTTGGGGAACTGTCATTATTAAGGGAAGGCTAGAAGCATCACACCTGATGCTTAGAGCAAAATATGAGTCAATACCAGAAAACCTATAAATGGAAGAGATCCTAGTTATAAGCCACCAAGAATTACAAAGGTTTGATGAACAAAATGATGAAAAGACAAAAGGGGGGATTTGTGAAAGACAATAGCATAGTTTTTGTTCATCAGGAACAAATCCAGAGATTGTGTAAGATGCAGGAAACAGTGGGGCAGGAGGGCAGGATGTACTGCTATTAGTAGATAGTGGAATTGAGAGATATTTGAAGGCTGCGCTACCATATTTGGAGAAGTTATTGCAGGGTTAACGCTACCTCGGAGGAAGAAGAAGAGGAGCTTTCCTCAAACGACCACCGGACAGCAGACAAAGACCCCTCGCAACACGCCGCGCAGATGCAGAGCACGTCGAGAAAGTCACAAAGTCCGGAACTGAAGGGGTATGAGAACTGAAAGACCGGGAGGTGCGGGGCGAGCCGTTGGTGGGAGCAGAGGCTCCCCGGCCGCCCAGCGCTGCATTTGCCCGTACTGCTTGCTTGCTAAATTAATAAAATTCTCTTTATAATGTGACACAAATTGGTCCCGTGTCATAATTTATAACGATCCCACACGAGGAAGGGCTGCAAACCCAGCCCAGGGCGCTGTGAGGAGGGAAAACCCTCCCTGTGCCGGGAAGGGTGTGGGGAAAGTGAGAAGAGCTTCAGGCAGATCTAGGCAGTGCTGGATGTAGAGATTCCATGGGGATAAAGAGATTCCCCCTGCAGATCGATGGGGATGCAGAGATCCCCCCGCAGCTCCATGGGGATGCAGAGATCCCCCCGCAGCTCCATGGGGATGCAGAGATCCCCCTGCAGGTCCGTGGGGATGCAGAGATCCCCCTGCAGCCCCTGGAGGAGCCAGGCTGGAGCTCGGGGATGCCTGAGAGGAGGCTGTGACCCCGTGGGCAGAGGGGCCCCGCTGGAGCAGCCTGGCCTGGCAGGACCGAGCCCGTGGCACAGTGACCCACGCTGCAGCACTTGGAGGGGCTGTGCCCCAGGGGATGGACTCGGCTCGGAGAAGTTCCTGGAGAAGTCTCGGCTGGGAGAGAGCGCAGGGTGCAGCAGGGAACGACTCCTGTCCCTGAGCAGAGGGAGAAGCCGCGGGGGATGAGCTGAGCACGGCCCCATTCCCTGTCTCCTGCCCTGCCGGGGGAGGAGGTGCAGCTGGGAGCAGGGAGGCGTGGGGAAAGCTGCATTTAAGGTTCTGCACTGACTTCTCCTCATCCTGCTCTGAGTCTTTGGAGTTTTCTGCCAGAAATCTCTCCCCTCCCCCGCTCACCCACAGCGCTTTGGGCAGGTTTCCCTTTTCGGGGGAAATCAAAGCGAAGCAGCGATGCACTAATGAGGGGCAGGAGAAGGGAGGCTCCCGGGCTTCCCGCAGAGCCGGAGGCACGGAAGGCGCAGGGCCGGGAAAGCCGTGGCGGGAGGTGCGGAGAAGTTTGTTTGTGTGGGCAGCTCAATCCCGCCTCGGGCCCGGGCCCGTCCCGGGGCTGTTCCTCATCTCCGGCTTTGCCCTCACGCAGCGCGGGGGGCCCTGAGAGCGCGGGGCGAGTCTGGGCCGTGCGCAGAGCCCGCCCCCAGCTCGCTGCCATTGGCCGCTGGTGCCGTCAGTCGCGGTTGCGGCGCGCTGATTGGTGGGAGCGGGGCGCAGCACGGCCCCGGCGGCGGGCTGAGGGCGGCCGTGGGCGGGCAGCGGCGCCATTGGCGCCAGGAGGGTCTGTGCGGGCCCGGGAGCGGCGGCAGCGGCCGGAGCGCGGTGAGGCGGCGGCGGCGGAGCTCGGAGGCGGCCCCGGCGCAGGTGGGAGCCGCGCTGGGTTCTGCGGGGGCTCGGGGCTGGCTGCGGGCGGAGGGGGCGGCAGGGGGCTGCGGCGGGTCGGTGGTGCCGTGTCCGGGCCGTGCCGGCCCCGGGCTGAGGGCGCGGCGGGAGCGGCTGCCCGCGGTCTCCTTCCCGCCGGGGCCTGGGCAGGAGCCGCTGCCGGAGCAGCGCTGGCTCGGCCCGGCTGCTGTGGGTAGGACCGAGGGGGCTGCCCCGCGGCCGGGAGCGTGCGGGGAAATTCCCGTCGCCGGAGGTTTCTGTGGCCGGAGGAGAGCGAGGAGTCCTGTAAAAGTGACTTTATTGCCGAGCAGGGGGAGAGGCCGTGGGGCATTTGCCGTGCGCTCTCTGCCGTGGTTGTAGTCCGCAGCCTCCTTTTTATCCTCATTTTCCCGGCCGCATCTCCCCCTGCCTTTGCCCACGGGCTGAGGTTCTTGGAAGGTTCAGACTTCCCGATGCGCCTGCTGCCTGTCCTCGTTAATATGCACCCTCCTTTTGTATACCAGCCGATATTCATGGCTCTGTTAAGTCTTTGTTCTTCTCCTAGAAGTTCAGGAATGTAGCGGGACTTTGAGCAGCAGTCCGTATCAGTTGGTAACATTTATTGGAACTGATGGTTTCTCCCATTGCTTTCTTTAGCTACAAGTCCCTCGCCCTGTCTCCAGACCGATTCAATCATTGACTCTGTTTTTTCTTACTGGGTCCTCTTTGGTTTTGGGATTATTCCCGGTGCCCTCATTCCCTGTCCTTTTGTAGCCCCTTGTGGATCAGGAGGCCTGGCTGCCGCCTGCATCCCTGGCTCAGCTACTGGATGAGCTGCACTCCCAAGGTGTAGGCGCTTGCTAAAAAGATGAGAGTTGCTGTAGCGCATAAGAGAAGCAGCATTCGTTTAACCCATGGTCTGCCAGGGCACCACAAAACCGTGTCCCATTCCCATCCTTTCCACATTTAAGCCAGAACATGATCTGCTTTCTTATTTTCTTTGTTATCTTTTTCACCACTTTTCCTTTGTCATCTCTTTGCCAACAGCAGTTTGAGTCATTTACCAGAAACTCCTCCTTTTTCTGCTAACAGATAATCTGATCCCATCCCCTGGTGAAATGTTGTGTTCCTCATTTCTGTGGCTTAGTTGGCAGGAAGGTGAGGAGCTGGATTTGTCTGGTTGGTTCTTATTTGGAGGACAGCTTGTAATCTAATGATGCCATTGAAATGATGAATGGGTTCTGTGGCTCCTGATATGAGTTCCATAGGGTTCCCAGGGGCTGGTCCGCGGTGTTGTAGGATTTATTCTGGTAGCCGTTTGTGGTTTTCCCAGTTTTGGCACTTCCTCAGGAGCCAGGGCTGCATCAAGTGACCGACTTTCTCTAATGTAAACATCAAATACTTGTATTCCAACTGATTTTGCTGAACCTGTAGTAGCAAAAACCCCACTACTCTAATCCACCCTATAAAACATAGACAGTGACAGCACATGTTGGAGTGGGCTGAGGGATGATTCCCCCGCCCCGCCCCTTATTTTAGTGAAGTTTTCACAACATTCTCCATTTGCTGTTTCCCTTTGCAGCTTCAGCCATTTCTGTTGCAGAGTCAGGGATCCTCACCATGGGCTCTGCCTTCAGCTGTTGAAATTCTATCTGTGGGAGATGGCAGAGCTTGGGGTGAGGGGCAGAGGGAATCAGCCCAATTCCAGCCCCAGGCAAGAAACCCAGACACATTGTCCATGCTTTACCCCAACACTGTTAATTTGCATTTCTTAAGCTCCTCTCCGGGCTGCCTGGAATGAAGCTCCTCTTCCAGAGCAGCCATTGGATGACTCATATGTGGCCACCCCAGAATCTGCTGCTTTCATTTTTTTCTTTTTAAAGTATATTTTTAAACAAACTGTTAACTGTTAATGCGTTAAAGGATCACCTTTGTTATAAATGAATGCTCCAATTTATTAATTAAGGAAAATTTATTAAATTATCAAAGTATAAATTTAGGAAAAAAAAAAAAGAAGAGTCACAATCTAATCAAAAAGGGTCAGTGGTACCTGGGTACCGGTGCTGGGTGAGACACAGGTCTGATCGCTACAGCAGAGGGTCCCCTGTTTCACACGGACTGTCCTGCCAAGCGGTTTTTATACGATTTTTCCTGCCCGAGGCAGAGTCCCTTTTCTTCCTTTCAGGACTGCACATATTCCTGTGGATTTCATTCTCTGCAAGGAGCTAAACAAAAGCATGTCAGGGGAGTGATAAACATCCACGACGTGTTCCCAGAATCCAGGAATCCAGTAATCCAGTATTGAGATGTATCTCACCAATGGCTCCAGCTATCTCAGTCTTAGATATTTATCAGGTATTCATCATCCTGGTGGATCACCTTGAGGAACACCCAGCTCTGGGCTGGCCACATTCATTCATTTGTAAATGAAGTTCTCCTTCCTCTTGTCCAGGTGGTTTCAACACTGTGATGCAATCCCCAACACTGACTTGTGTGCTTAAAAATCTTTTTATAACGGTATATCTTACCAATACATACATAAAATATATATGACAATTTTTATCTGCATGAATTATCCCATATGCACAAAACAATCCCTCCCCTTCTACATAAACATAGTAATTCCTGCTTTCCAAACTTTCTACATAATTACGTGTAACTTTACTTCTACCCTATACTACTATCCCATTTCCTAGTTCTTTATAAGGAGGAGAGAAGCCTCTTAGTTCCCTCAAGGCTTATTATCCCACTCTTGTCTTGGAATTCCCTGGTACAATTTGTAGACATCCCCTTCTCCCTGCAGTGTTCTGCTCTTTGAATCTGGCCAAAGCATCTGCTGCCCTACCATGTAGATTTTCCTCCCCCAATTTCATTATTTTTGATACCTGATTTGTTTTTCACATAGCACATTCTGGGTCTGTGGGCATGGCAGTCACCTGCATACCTTGCACTACTGAGTGTATCAACCTGATAAAGCATGGTATCAGGCAGGGTAGGAATATGATCCCAGCTATTGAACACAATATAAAAAAATATTACCTTTTTCACCATGCTCCATCAAACAGATGATCTCACCAGGATGCTTGGAGTATGGAGTTCCATTTTTGTACTGGGACATGTGCTACACTTTTAATTTCTGTCATCAGGCCTCTGATGGTTTCTCCATAGTCATGAATCTCTATAGAGCATTGTGATTCATTAAACTTTCCACAGACCCCTACTACTCCCTGTGCTAGTAAATAGTCCAGGGCTATTCTGTTTTGATGAAGGCCCTCATTTGGGAGTGTTGTTTAGACAACAGCTCAAGGGCATTTGAGGTGTGGTTAGAGACAATCTCTACCACAGCCCAAAGTCTTATTAGTTGGTTTAACAGATAATTTGGGGTCCTATACCCCCAGCTTTCATCCTGGGCCCATATTGCAGGACCATAATCCTCTATTATTCTTTCTGCTGGCCACTTCTCGCCCCAGGTCTGATCCCCACCAAAGATAGGGAATTTCTTTTTCAAATCCCTTCTTCTGCTCAAAGTTTCGTATAAGGGGGCCCCTAGTGAGCTGTGTTCTGATTGATGTAGGGTAAAGAAAGCATGTCTGATAATTGCATAGTGCATGACCCTCTCCACCGCTGAGGTAGTTCACTATATGCTTTCTTCCCAGAAATCCAATATAAACCATTCGGGGCTTTCCACCTGACCTATGTGTTTTCGGGTTTACTCCAGAATCCTCTCAATTCATCTAAGGATTGGTAAGGGTTAGCTCCGAAGCCTTTGTTCCAGCAGTGTTTCATTTTTTTCTCTCCATTCACATTTAGTTTCTTTTTCCCAGCTCCAGTACCCTACTAGGTACCTACTAGGTACTGGAGTACTCCAGTAGGGTTTTCTGGCTGCCAGATTCTGCTTTTGTTAAAGGAATTTTCTGTTGGAGTGGACAGACATGAAGTGTATCCCACCATTTCAGTGTGCTCCTTTCCCTCCCCGCTAATGCAAAGTGTCCTAATTATAGCATTATCCCATTTCAGGAGTTGATCTAGAGCTAAGCTCTCACCTTTTCAAGGCCACTTCTCTGCAGACTTGAGCCCTCCGCAGATCCAGCAATTGGACAACCTCAATTCTGTTGCAGTTTCTTGCATCAAATCCACAAATAGGTTTTGATCTGAGGCAGGGAAACTCCAACTGGTATATTGTTTTTTGAGCTGATCATATTGCTCGCTTAGGGTTCTCAGCCTTTCTTGCTCCATCCTTCTTTTTCTCATCTCTGCCTCCTGTCTTTTTAGTTCCTGTGATACCTGTTAAATTTTGCTCTCTGGGTCCACGCCCTCTTTGTTCTTGAAAAGCAGAACATCCTGTCATATTGCAAACAAACGCGGTCATCCTAATCCTCTAAAAGGTCTAAGATAACTGGCTCATTTTTGAGGGACATCTTGGTCTCATATTTTAAGTTCTTCCCAACCCAGTATGTCTATCCACCCATAACACACATTCCCAAGTGGTTATTGTCATAACACAATGGGTTAGCCTGAAAGTATGCTACAAACACTGACTCCATCCTTCCCCCAGTCCATACTGTGTGGTTACATTTATCACAGATTGGGACAGATATCTGTTCAACATTTCTTTTATGTACCTTGTGCTCTGACTGCCCGTCCTTAGGGGTCGCCCTTTGTGAGTAACACCTTATTCTTTCTTTTAGCTTGCATATCCCCTGCTGGGTACCATTTATGGGACAGTGCCCACTTAGCTTACCCTTGCCGCAGTTCCTTGGGGCTGGAGGTGTTGGAGCCTCCGATTCCCCGTGTCCTCTCCGGACAGCCTGTATGCAGTGCCCGCACCTGTCACTGGGGCCTCACACCTCTGTGCTGGGCCAGTTACTGCAATGCGTGCTGGTCTTGAGGCACATTGCTAGACTCAGATTGATCAGGATCCCCACGATTATTATTATTCCTCTGCCTTTGCCTATGCCCACTGGGTTGCCACCAGTGGTGAGGTAAACCATTTTCTCGGCAGC